TTGATTCGCTGGACTTTTTGTTGAGACAATTACAGTGACTACTCTGATAATCCGTACACTCGAAAAGTGCAGGGATGGCTTTGGCGCGAAAGCACGATACGGACTCAGTGAACGACCATCGATGATTATCAAATAACAAACATATATCAGTTCTCACCTACATATCGTGCACGGACATCGACATGTTTGACTGATTCGGGGCACGCCGACCACGACAAATGGTGAAGTAATTAAAGGTCGACATTCCCCGTATAACAGGTGCAATATCCTTTCTGTCATTGGGATCAGACGACGGATTCCAGGGAGAGGACAAGAGCCATCAAGCCGAAAGCCACGCCGAAGGTTCTTAGTGTTTAACCTTTTGAGGCCCATCCCCCACCCTCATTATGTGAAATGTAAAGACGTAATAGGTGCCATTTTTTTCTCGTTACGAGAATTAACATTTACCGAAGTCACGGTGGTCATTTCACTGGTGCTGCATGGTGTTTCATAACAGCCTTTAGATGCGGTATCCACCATTAGATTGAAAGACCATTCGTAAAGACAAAACCCGCGCGTGGCGCTGTATGTCATCTTGTTTTATTTACGAGTCAAAACGCTGGAATGCACTGGGACAATGTCGTGACATTGGCGACACTCCGAGAGTAGTATATTCAATTGTTGTCTTGTTGCGAGCTTGATTTAACAAAACAAAACTAAATAAAATAATTATTTCAATGTTGCAATAAAGAACAGCTCAGTATAGATTGTTGTATACCCCGTTCCGGGGTATGTACGCGCCAAGTCTGGTATAATACCAATTTTGACTTCAGTTGCTTGACAGCATCGTCTATATGTGGGAAGTTTTTTTTTTCCGCTCTGTCTCCGAATACAATCATTTTACGCCATTATACGTCTATTGGAATAGATCATCGGGTCCCAAATTAAGTCAACGAATGCCTCACTAAATCAGTATTTCTATCTCGCAGTAAATTCTATAACCTGACCGCATAGTGATATTGTAACAATCATTCTCTTTCTTTTTTTTTAAATTCTAAAAACATCTGGGAAAGACAACTGATAAATCGATTGAATTGTCCATCGAAAAGTAATC